CCCAAAGCCTGCACCTCCAGCCAGAGCCCTGATCCCCCCCCCAACACTGAGCTTCTTACCCCACACTAAACTCCTCAGCCCCCCCGCAACAGATCATCCATGTGCAGAAATGAATTTTCTTACGTGCACCAAGAGGTTAGTGATGTGTTACACAAACTCCATATTGGTATCCATAACAAAATTCATTCTGCACATGGATGTTAAAAAATAGAGGGAACACTGGTTGCTACTAGTGTTGTTTCTCTCTCACTTAATTTTTACGAATAAAGGAATGGATCTGAAGATGCACTGTATGAGGTCTATAATTAATATTAGTTACCAAGAGGCCCAGTGAGGGAGAGAAACTCATTGTGCTAAAAGTTATCAATATTTTGTGCTTGATTTCTGAGAGTCCTATAGTCTTCATGCTTATCTGTAGAACACCACCAGACTCATACAGCAACCCTTGTAATGTCTCTTGCCTGTCTTTTGTCTTTTACAACCAGCACTTTCTCATGCCATGGACATAGGACAGCTGGAAAGCTGAGCAACTAAGACACAACTATAGAAGAAAGGACATGTTCTGTTGAATTCCAGCCTGGAAAACCATACACCAAATCTGCAGGGACCGCTCTGAATCAACCCTCAAAATGCCCTCTATATCAGGGTATGTCTAAACCACATCCTTCTTTCGAAAGAGGGATGTAAATTAGACATATGAAAATTGCAAATGGAGCCAGGATTTGAATTTCACATGCTTCATTTGCATAATCGTGTCTCGACGTTTTTTCGAAAAACACCATTTCGAAAGTGAAACCACCCTCCTGACGTGGTTCTTTCAAAAAGAAAAGCCTTTTTCGAAAGATCATATAAACCTCATTTTTCAAGGAGTACAGGCTCTTTTGAAAAAGACTTTTCTTTTAGAAAGAACTGCCTCTAGACGGTGGTTTCACTTTCAAAATAGCATTTTTCAAAAAAAGCCATGATGCAATTATGCAAATGAAGTGCAGGAAATTCAAATCCTGGCTTCATTTGCAATTTCAATATGTCTAATTTACATCCCTCTTTTGAAAAGGGATGTAGTCTAGACATACCCTCAGTGTTTCTCAACCAATGGTATGAGTACCCTTAAGGGTACTTGAGAGAAGTCTGGGGAGTACATAAACAAAACTGAAATTTGGAGAAGACTGAATTTTGGTTTTAAGTATTACAGCATTTTATTATTTTTGTACTTTTTACACCCAAAAATTTCATTGCCTGCCTGGCTACGATTGAGCTGTTTAAACAAATGTGTTGCAATGGTAGATTAAAATTGTGTGTGTCTGAAAACTGTAGGTACTGGGGGTACTTATAATTTTTTTTAAAGGGGTGCTTTATAAAAAAAAGATTGAGAAACATTGCTCTATATCCTCCAGATCCATTACCTCCTATCTAGAAACCTTGCTTAGAAGACCATAAGACAGACTATATCCTCCTGCTCCTTTCTTCTTCAGGCATCAATTCCACCCACCACCTTCAGGAGCCTGCTTCAGTACTGAGCAGCCCAGACCCAAGACACACACATAGCATTCAAGTTGTCCAACCTCCTCTTCCCCAACTCAGAAAAACCAACCAAACAACCCCCCCCCCCAAAAAACTCAGCACGATAGCAGAAAGTGGCAACAGTCAATGGGAAAGAAGTAAGATTTAACACTGATCCATAAGCCCTCACCCCAAAAATGACATAAAATTTTGGATGATGATATCCATTCAAAGTGAGAAAACTCTGTACAGGCAGTCCCCGGGTTACGTACAAGATAGGGACTGTAGGTTTGTTCTTAAGTTGAATTTGTATGTAAGTCGGAACTGGCGTCCAGATTCAGCCGCTGTTGAAACTGACCAGCAGCGGCTGAATCGGATACGCCTGGGGCAGAACAGTGGGGATGCTGCTGGGTTGGTCCCGCAGTGCCGTTCCTCGGCGCTACTGGACCAACCCGGCAGCAGCCCAGCTGCTCTGCCCCAGGTGCTCCCAAGTCAGCCGCTGCTGAAACTGACCAGTGGCTGACTACAGGAAGCCGCTTCCTAAAAAGAGTCCGCTGTCAGGAACCTAAGGATGGAGCTGACTTTCAAAAGCGCCACGGACCCAAGATCAAATAACGAGGAGTCCTGTGGCACCTTAGACTAACTGAAGTGTTGGAGCATAAGCTTTCGTGGGCAAAGACCCACTTCAACCCACTTTTGCCCACGAAAGCTTCTGCTCCAACACTCCGGTTAGTCTATAAGGTGCCACAGGACTCCTCGCTGCTTTTGCAGATTCAGACTAACACGGCTACCCCTCTGATGCTTTACATCCCAAGATTGACATCAACAATCTACCTCAGGTGCCCTGTGCTCAGCCACTGGTCAGTTTCAGCAGCGGCTGACTTGGGGACGCCTGGGGCAGAGCAGCTGGGCTGCTGCTGGGTTGGTCCAGTAGCGCCGCACCTCGGCGCTGTGGGACCAACCCGGCAGCCCCCCAGCTACTCTACCCCAGGCGTCGGCGAGAAAAGCCTGGTCTGCTGGGAGGGGGCGTACTAGCTGCGCCCCCTCCCCACAGCAGACCAGGGAGACACGGAGCGGCTTTTCTTGCCGTGGAGGACGCGGGCAGCGGGACCGCCGCGGCGCGTCTCGGCGATCTGCTGTGGGGAGGGGGGGCGCAGCTAGTTCAGGGTTCCCTCACCCCATTCGTAAGTAGGGATCCGACATAAGTTGGATCCACGTAACCTGGGGACTGCCTTGTATATAAAGAAAAAAATATTAAATGTGTTAGAATCTGAACGAGGAACTAGTCAGTGAATGCAAAGGAAAAATAAGAAACTTTATTCATACTCAACAAGATAAGGCTTATTGTTACATTTCTGGTACCCTAGTGATAATATATGATCATTTTCCTTAATAATAATCTACCCTTCCTATTGGAATAATGTATTTGGCCTTTGGTAGCTGATATGCAGCTCAATTCAAAAGAAGACAAAGCAAGTACATTACAAAAGAGCTCTAGAGTAAGCCTGGTACTGTATCTAAATTGAAATACACTCTACATCAATTAAATGATTAAATAGCCTATAGAATTTACACAAATCAAGCTCATTTACTGTATCAAAATATTAGTATCACATTAAAGCAGAATTGTCCAAGAATGAAATATATTGCATCAAGTATTTCCTATTCCCCCAAGCACAAGTGTTTGCAGAAAACATGTAGGCAAACAAACGACACTATCTTCAGTATGACAGTGGTCCCCAACGCGGTGCCCGTGGGCGCCATGGCACCTGCCGGGCCATTTCTGTGTGCCCGCCAAGTGATTGGGGCTGGCCCTGCCCCTGTGTGCACGACGCATGGGCGGCGCCGGCCCTGGATGCGCAGCACATGGTTGGTGCCGGCCCCGGGTGCGTGGCGGTTAGGCGGCCCCACCCCTGGGTGCGTGGCACGAGGTCTGTGCTGGCCCTGGGTGTGCAGCATATGGGCAGGGCCGGCCCAGGCACGTGGCACAGAGGCGGCGCTAACCCGGAGCGTGCAGCACATGGGTGGGGGTGGTCCCACCCCCAGGTGAGCAGCGCGAGGGCTGTGCCGGCCTCAGGCTTGCAGCGTATGGGTGGCACAGACCCAGGAACGCAGCATAGGTGTGGTCCTGCTACCGGGCGCTGCCAGCTCTTGGGCGCATGGCACAGGCGCCGGCTCCAGACACGCTGCGCATGGGCGGTGGCAGCTCCGCCTCCGGGCGCACGGAACATGGGCTGTTCCGGCCCTGGGGCGCGCGGTGTGTGGGCGGCCCCACTCCTGGGTGTGCAGCACAGTTGTGGCGCCAGCCTCGGGAGTGCGGCACATGGGTGGCTCTGCCCCCAGGAGCATGGGTGGCCCCGCCCTCGGGTGCCCAGCGTGTGAGCGGCCCAGCCCCCGGGCGCCCGGCAGCCCCAAAAGGTTGGGGACCACTGATCTATATGAAAGGAGGTAATGGCCTATATTTAGTTCCTATGGACAGATGTTGACATCATCAACACAGTTTCATTATAGAGGTCAAGGATCAAATCAGTCTGGAACCTGAATCATTCTTTCACAATTGTTCTTTCTAGAGACGTGTACTTTGGGCACACTGTAGGGGCTGTGAGGGATTGGTACTGTTACACCCTGCTCTGACACAGACGTACTGGAGGGAGCTCTCTGGATCTTGCAGGGAATCCCTTGTTAAAATTCTGCTACACTGATTTCCTCGTCTCTGTTGGAACAGATTTATCTATGCTGTTCCTAAAAATACTTCTGAAGAGCAAATTACTTTGCCTTCAAAATATAGCACATGTAAAATATTTTCAAAACATTTTTCTGAAGGAAGAAAACTTTGCAGGCTGCCAAATAAGCACTCAGTTCCTCCCGGCTCATCTTGGTGATTACATGCACCTCTGGTACACTGGGCTGGCCACAGGCAAAGGCAAGACATTTTTGTAGTAGCTCATTGTTTGTGACAGCTCCACCACTATGTTCTATGTTCTGATGCTAAACATGAGACACTAATATTCAGATACGCAAACTTGCCACCTTTCACAGATGCAAAATGAACTCTACAATTTATAACAAAAATCACCAAGTGATAATTATTTTAAATTTAACATAGTCTTGACAGTCTAGGAGACAAACACAAAGGGTATGTCTACACTACAACCCTAGTTCGAACTAGGGTGGTTAATGTACTCATTTGAAGTTGCAAATGAAGCCCGGGATTTAAATATCCCGGGCTTCATTTGCATCTTGCTGGGCGCTGCCATTTTTAAATCCCCGTTAGTGCAGACTCCGTGCCCGCGGCTACACGCGGCACGGAGTAAGTAGTTCGAATTAGGCTTTCTAATTCGAACTACCGTTACATCTCGTTCCACGAGGTGAAGACATGATTATTAAGTTGGAGCTCCATGTCAGTCTTGGTCGTGCATACATTTTTAGGAAATTATTGTTTTTTATACTTGTTGAGTATCCATGTACAAAGCGCTATAAAGATCAACATTTTCATTTACCTTGTTCAAATTTTCATCTGTAACTGGTTCTTCATAGATGCGAATTTTGTCCTCCAAAGATTTTTTCAGAATGTATATCTTATTTTTATTCTTGGATCGTTGTTTTTTGACCTTGGGCTGCGGCTGTAAAAAGTAATCACATCATTAAATATTTTTAAAATGTAGATGACAGTAATAAGTATTACTATTATTACTATGATGGGCAATTCTCCAGTTAATACAAAATTGCAAACTTGACTTTCATGACAAAATGCATGTTCTAACTATCTTTCAGAGGACCCATTCAGTACTTACAGACCAATCTCCAAAATGTGCCTAATTTTCTTGAACACGGGTTTACATAGTCATTCCATCCATGAAAAGAGTGTGCAATTGCAAAGCTGCATTATTGCATTTTTTTCCTGATAGCAGAGGGGAGATAAATTTTGTTTCACACAAACAAATGCTATAGGAAATGACTTGATGAAATTTTACTCATCTCTTTACAACGCCATAAAAAGAACAAGATATCATAGTCATTTAAAATTAAATGATTTTCAAGATGCACTATATGAATCACATATGACCCATGATAATAGTAAAGAGCACCTTACCTTACTATGTAATCAGATTATTCTTTACAAGAATATAGACTAAACGAAATGTACTCAGAGAAAAGACATCTGTTCAACTATAAGGCTCTGCAAAATCATTTTCCTTTTCAAATGCAGAGTATTCTGAAAATCATTGAGGTTTTGAGCTAGTCTAATTCCCAGTGCAATTAGCCTAAGTTAGTTTACACATGAAGAAAAACACAAGCAATCTTTGTTATAGCGCTATTACTTACAATTCATAGAAGAGACACACTTCTTTTTTGTGTGGAAAAGTTAAGATAAAGAATTAATATGTAGCTTGTAACATTCAATGAAATTACAAATCCTCCACACAAAGTTAAACAGATAAATAGAAAATTTGTTACCCAGTTATCCAATGCGACTAGCTGACTACCTGATAAGCAAAAGCTCATTGGCTAGTCGACTAGTCACTTCTCTCACCTTTACTGCATGTCTCAGAGAGAGGCAGTAAAGGAGGGAGCAGGAGCCAAAGTTGCGGGGAGCCAGCTTAAAAGCTGGTTCCCCCAGCACCATCTCTGTGGCGAGCAGGGGAGGCAGAAAAGTCCCTATTGCTGTACCGCTCTTTGAAATGTGTAAGAGCTTCAGGCAACTCTTGTACATTTCAAAGGAAGAGGCGCAGCAGGGAAACCATGCCTCTCCCTTTGAAATGTCTAAGAGCCAACTGCAGCTCTGGTGCATTTCAAAGGGAGAGGCACAGCAGTTGGACCCCTCTGCACCTCTTTTTCTGAAAGGTATAGGAGCTACCCACAGCTTTTACATATTTCAAAAGGAGAGACGCAGGAACGGGGACCTAAGCAGTCCCACGACACCTCTTCCTTTGAAATGTATAAGAGCCGCAGGTGGCTCTTGTACATTTTAAAGGGAGAGGCACAGCAGGATAGCAAGCACCCCCCCATCAACTAATCGAGTAGTTGATGGAAATTCCATTGACTACTCAATTATTTGATTAATCGAAATTTAACCTCACTAGCTGGGAATGATCTCTTGTTGGAGTTGGGCTAGTGTGAGGTCCAGAGTAGCATTATGCTCAGTAAGAGACTTAAAAATGAGAGTGTCATCCAAATAGCAACACATCTCTCAACACATTACCCAGGAGTTGAGAGACCACTCTGTGTAATATCTTAGGTGAGACTAAGCCAAAAGGAGCTGTAGACAGCAATATTCCCAAATGATGTGCTGAAAGTCAGCAACAACTGCAAACTTTCAGGTGTTTGCTAATAACTGGAGTGGCCAATAACAGAGAAAATCTCTGATTCTCTTACCCAGCAAGTCACCTGTTGAAGGCTGGCAATAGAAATGGCTCGTGTTTCCCATATTTATTATGGTCCCTAAAAACTGCACAGTTGAACATCACCACTCTTCTTGTATATGATTACAATAAGTGAGATCCAATCCTTCCATTTCCCACACGATACCAAATTCTATTTGGGCCTTCTCCACACCTACAGGAAAAATGTAATGCGCATGTGGTGCACACTTCTGTTCTAGTCCAGTTTCTCAACTTTTTTCCCCTTAGATTCCCCTAACACACCATGACCCGCTTGTGGCACAACTGTTATTCTGCATATAAAAGCTAGGGCTGGCATTAGGGAGTAGTACACGAGGCAACTGCTTGGGCCACACACCACAGAGACCCCATGAATCTAAGCTACACAAGCTGCAGCTTCAGGACTGGGTGGTGGGCACAGGGTGGTGGGACTTATGAGTCACAGTGAGTGTAATGCTGGCACTGCTTGGTAGACCTCCTGAAACCTGCCTGTACCTCCTCCCCTCAATACAGCTTTGAACCCCTGGTATGCCTTTGAGAGGACAGAGCATAATGTTTTTCCCACTGTCTGCAAGCCATACAAATTCCAAGCTTTTATAACTAACGTCAAGCAAGCAACTGTCCGGACCGTGAACTAACCCAGAAGGGAGAGTATAAATGCAGGCACCGCTATCCACCAGAAACTTCAGCAGTGTGCCATTAATTTCCAGAGGAGAGGATATCAGCTCCCATGTCTTATCACAAGACAACCACACCACAGGAAACATAAGTAAAGTTAGTCTCAGCCAACTCCACATTCATAGGCTTCCTGTCTTTGTGACCTGCTGTACTGCAGTGCCTTAATTCAAAAAGCGGACTTCCTTCTCACAAGCCCCCTGGGGCAGGCAAGGGATTGGCTAAGTGACCCATACCATCACAGCAGAACAGTGAGCCACTGACAACTTTCACTGTTGAGGTACCATGGTACAGGAGTAGGTAGCACTTTACGAGTTTGGGTGATGGAAACAGAAGCAGCAGCTGATGGCTTAAGTGGAGATACAAAGGTAGCAGATGTCTGGAATACAGAATCACTTTTACCCTGAGCCTTCTCAAAGGCCTCACTCTTAGCCAGTGTGCCAGGAAAATCTAGCATTTTCGCATCTTTACTAGTAACTGTTTATCCAGCTGGTCACTGCTATGCCAATCAGAAAAATCTCTTAGCATAATCATCATATCGTCTTAAATTCACAGTCCCTGTCTCAGTACTGCAAATGACATGCATACTCATGTATGGTATCATTGGGCCGCTGGACAGCTCTAAAAATATTTTCCTCTTTAACAGAATGGGATTTCCAATTCCAGAATACTTGCTGAGGTGTTGCATAGTTGCATCAAGGAGGACTTGGGCTGTAGGAGCCCACCTTAAATATCAACGCTATCACGGACTAAGCAGCCTGGGTAACCTAGGAGTATTGCAGAGCTGTATGATCTGCATATAGTTGCAAAAATTTAGAATATAGAATCACCAGCTGAAGGCTGTGCACACAGCAAGGGCTGCAAACAGAGGCACTCACCCCCAAATTGCACTCTGATGCACTCTGAAGTTTTTTATAGCAATTCAGAAAAAAAAAAAGACGACATATCAGTAGAGCAGAGATAGGGAACCGTTTTGGGATTAGGACCTGCTGACCCACAGAAAAATCAGTTGGGGGCTGCACACAGGTGAGAAGCAAAGAGAGGAGCCCTTTACTGAGGAGAAAGAAACTTCCGATATTCACCTCACACGCCAGAGCTTGGGGTGGAGAATGGGGGAAGAGGGAATTCAGGCTAGTAAATTCTGTGTGCTCCAGCCTTGCAGGTGGGTGGCTGGAGCACCAGCATGGGTTCCTCAATGCTGAGCCTCAGAGGCCGGATACAGGCAAGCCATGGGCCGCATCCAGCCCCCACGTCTGAGGTTCCCCACCTCTGCTGTAGAATGTCAGTTAAAACATGTGGTAACCATGAACTGGTAAGGTCAGCAGCAGTCTGAATAAAACATGGCAACAGTCTGAATGGCAGATATGCAGCAGCAGGCCGTTAGCAGCTGCATATACCCAGTACAAAGGCTGTGCATGTGCGTGCATAAACAGGAACAAGACCAATGCAAGTAGCAGGAAGCAGGGAACAAAACAGGGATCAGGAAGCAGAAAGGCAACGTACACACCAGTCATCACTAGGGCTCCGTAGCTGTCTCAGAGGTCACAGAAGTCACACATTCTGTGACTTCTGCAGTCTTTGAGACGCTGGAGCGGTCCTGGGAAGTTGGCCCCAAGGACTGCCAAAGCAGTGGCTGAGGTGGCTGGCTCCAGGAACTGCTTAAATAGTTGTCGCAGGGGAGGTGGAAGATGCAGCAGGTGGCTGGCTGCCTCGGTGACCAGAGTAGTCACTTCTCAATGGTCCCTGGCAGCTGGTGCTGCTGGACCTCCTGAAATGCTCTCTACTCCCAGATCAGCACCTCTGCTCCCAGCCAAAATTTAGTCAGGAGTATACAGTACAAGTAAAGGACAAGTCACAGGCAACACGTGACTAAACCATAGCCCTAATCATCACAGAGGCACAGCGCTGATGCCTTGCACTGGCGAGGAGGCCAGGATCCAGCTGTTACCTACAGAATCTGATAAATGAATCAGTCCATGCAGTTAGGAACTGACCCTAGTTACATTCTGCTTCCAAAACACATGAAAAACGGCACGTGTACGGAAACCCACTCCTGAAAAAAAGACAGAAAGTAAATGTACACATCTGGGAAACGTAAAGGGTTTCAATACTGACTGATCCTACCTGTTTGTCAGATACTACTAAATTCTGATCCACTTTTAGCAGCTCTGCATCCCTCCACACCAACTGATATGCCTGAAGCAAAGCTCTTGCCCGTATCTTTGGCAAAGCTAAGTTATTGTCCATCTGAGAATAGCAGCAATGGAACTCTTGCCTCATTCTGAGGAACTCTTCTTCAGATAACGAAAGGGGTAAACTTAAAAGTCTCCTGTTAAACAAAACCAAACACACATCATTCTGTGGGATAGGCAAATGGCACAGAGTAAAAGCAAACCAAACCCCCTTTTCCCCTTCAAACTATCTTTGGAGATCCTAGTAGCCTACAAAGTGTGTTCTCCTTCCCAAGTGACCAGGTTCTTTGGATAGCAGGGTATTAGGTGGAAACATGATTCCTATATTTGAAAAAAAAATTTTTGGAAGAAATTATTTTAATGCAATTTTAACATAAAAATATTTCCCATGAAGATTCTAACATCATTCTAAAAACCATTTTTCACACATGCACAGGATGTATAAAGAGTTCCTTTGTGCCTATCTTATCAATGTAAGGACCAGATATGATGAATGTTTATTGGTAAGCTCTCATTTTAAATCACTGTAGAGTTTGATACTCATTTGTAAACATTCTATATCAGCTTTTTAAAACAGAACAAATGGAAAAAGTACTAGAATTCTTTGTAACAATTTCAAAATACCCTTGTGTTAAAGTTTCAGAGAGATAACCGTGTTAGCCTGAAAGGGTATGTCTACACTAGCCCCTTAGTTCGAACTAGGGAGGCTAATGAGGGCAACCGAAATTGCAAATGAAGCGCGGGATTTAAATATCCCATGCTTCATTAGCATGTTCCCAGCCAGTCGCCATTTTAGAAATTGACTAGCCTGAAGTAACTGCCCGTGTCTACACGCAGCAGTGAAACGGGATTCCGAATTAAAGCCCTAACTCGAATTAGCTGTTAAACTTCATTTCACCCTCATTAGCCTCCCTAGATCGAACTAGGGGGCTAGTGTAGATATACCCTAACTGAATAAACTTAAGCAACAAATAGTCTTTCAGCTCCTTAGGATGCGTCTACAGTGCAAACTTATTTCGAAATAAGCTATTCCGGAAAAAATACTCTGAAATAGCTTATTTCGAAAATGCCCGTCTACACTACAGGAAAGTCTCAAAATTAGACCAAGGCAGTCTTCCCTAATGTAGATATTCTACCTTGATTTAGAATCCCAGGAAGCACTGGAGAGTAATTAGTTTGAGTGGCCCTGGGGAGGAGCTATTGCGAAATAACAGCGGAGGAGCGTTCACACTACAGCTACTTCAAAATAGCTATTTCAGAATAGGCATTATGCCTTGTGGAATGAGGTTTACAGAAGTCGGAATAAGCTGTCCGTTATTTTGAAATTGTTTTAAAATCACGGAATTGCTGTGTAGATGCTTACATTGTTATTTTGAAATAACGTCAGTTATTCCGAAATAACGGTGCTGTGTAGACACACTCTTAGTGTGCTTGCAAAAGGGAAGTAAAAGAATACTTTTAAATTTGTAGGATTTCAACTTCAAATGTTATTCGTTTTACTGAATAATTACCATACATAGTACATTTGAATCAGAAACTCGTAAATCTTCCACTACTCTTTCCATAACTAATTTGAATTATTTAGTGATTCTAACAGTACAAATTTTCTTTGCGCTAAAATGACAGTTAAATGGGCGACTTGATTTTAATTTTGTTAGCAAATATTTTTTATGAACGCTAATCATAGTAGCTATGACCTTTTTCCTATGAAAAACAAAAATAATTATTTAAACCAGTGTTTCTCAGTGGTCCATGGACCCACTTTGAGGAATATGCTACCACGCTGCTCCAGTTTGTTTACTTGTTGGATCTGCAGCCACGGAGTCTCACAGCTCCCACTGGCTGTGGTTCGCCTTTTGCAGCCCAAGGGAGTCATAGGAAGCAGCGTGACCTGGGCTGCTGCTTTCTGTGGCTCCCAATTGGCTGCAAACAGCGAACCTCAGTCAACGGGAGCTGTGAGGCTCTGTGGCTGTGGAGCCAACAAGTTAACAAATTGGGGCAGCCCAGTAGCAGTGGTCTCAGGGTGGGTCCATGAACCACTGAGAAACACTGATTTAAACCTGCAGGACAATATAGCACTTTAAAGACTAACAAGATGGTTTATTAGATGATGAGCTTTCGTGGGCCAGACCCACTTCCTCAGATCAAATAGTGGAAGAAAGTAGTCACAACCATATATACCAAAGGATACAATTAAAAAAAATGAACAAATATGAAAAGGACAAATCACATTGCAGAACAGAAGGGGGATGCGGGGGGGTGGGAAGGGGGAGGAAGGAAGGTAAGTGTCTGTGAATTGCTGATATTAAAGGTAGGGAGAGTGGGATGTTTGTGAGTTAATGGTATTACAGGTGATAATTGGGGAAACTGTCTTGGTAATGGGTGAGAAAGTTCAAAGACTTGTTAAGTCCCTGTTGGTAAGTGTCGAATTTTAACATGAATGACAGTTCAGAGGATTCCCTTTCAAGTGCAGATGTAAAAGGTCTTTGTAGCAGAATGCAGGTGGCTAAGTCATTTAGAGAGTGTCCTTTCTGGTTAAAGTGGCAAGAAACTGTTTTCTCTTTGTGATCTTGTCTGATATCTGTTTTGTGGGCATTAATCCTTTGGCGAAGTGTCTGAGATGTTTGTCCAATGTACATAGCAGACGGACACTTTCGGCACATGATAGCATAGATTATATTTCTGGATGCGCAGGAATATGTGTTCTTGATCTTATAACTCACTTGGTTAGGTCCAATAATGGTATCAGCAGAATGAATATGTGGACAAAGCTGGCAACGGGGTTTGTTGCAAGGGAAGGTACCAGGGTTGGTATTAGTGTGGTATGTCCTGTGGTGGTTGGTAAGAATCATCTTGAGGTTAGGTGGTTGTCTATAGGAGACTATGGGTCTGTCTCCCAGAGCCTCTTTGAGTATGGTATCCTGTTCCAATACTTTGTCCACATATTCATTCTGCTGATACCATTATTGGACCTAACCAAGTGAGCTATAAGATCAAGAACACATATTCCTGCGCATCCAGAAATATAATCTATGCTATCATGTGCCGAAAGTGTCCGTCTGCTATGTACATTGGACAAACATCTCAGACACTTCGCCAAAGGATTAATGCCCACAAAACAGATATCAGACAAGATCACAAAGAGAAAACAGTTTCTTGCCACTTTAACCAGAAAGGACACTCTCTAAATGACTTAGCCACCTGCATTCTGCTACAAAGACCTTTTACATCTGCACTTGAAAGGGAATCCTCTGAACTGTCATTCATGTTAAAATTCGACACTTACCAACAGGGACTTAACAAGTCTTTGAACTTTCTCACCCATTACCAAGACAGTTTCCCCAATTATCACCTGTAATACCATTAACTCACAAACATCCCACTCTCCCTACCTTTAATATCAGCAATTCACAGACACTTACCTTCCTTCCTCCCCCTTCCCACCCCCCCGCATCCCCCTTCTGTTCTGCAATGTGATTTGTCCTTTTCATATTTGTTCATTTTTTTAAATTCTATCCTTTGGTATATATGGTTGTGACTACTTTCTTCCACTATTTGATCTGAGGAAGTGGGTCTGGCCCACGAAAGCTCATCATCTAATAAACCATCTTGTTAGTCTTTAAAGTGCTATATTGTCCTGCATTTTGCTTCAACTACCCCAGACTAACACGGCTACATTTCTATCATGATTTAAACCTTTCATCCAGCATATTCCAGTGTAAAAAGTAGAGTATTCAGCTAATTTAAGTGGCAAATTGTAGGTAATTGCAAAGTATGACTTTAGTTTGCACAAACAAATCCACAAGCAAACTCTTCAAAATATATAGGTTTATCATAATAGCATATCATAACACAGTATTCTGTATTTTGATACGTTCTTTCTTGTCTCCCTAAAAGTCTACCTGGCCACCTCTGTGGGCAGACAGAAGGGTGGTTGGGTCAAATTTCAGTTGAGTGACAATACAATCGATTTTGTACAATAACACACAATGTTGACCCTCTGCCCAGAAGGGGGAGGTAGGCGGGACAAATGGTGTTGCAACAAGGAATCTGTTCCTGAATGGTGGAGAACTGAGATCTCAATTTCTGGCTGCACCAGATCATGCACTGAAAACAAGAGGGGGTGACTTCCAGCCAAGATACACCCAGGGTTCCCACAGGAGAAAGGGGTTGGAGACTAGTGGAAGTGGAACAGAGTGTTTGCTATGACAGATGACTGGAACTTACTCCTGCCACAGAATATCTGCGTGGGCACTACTGACTTTCAGGCTTGGAAAACATAAATTTTCCGTCTGGTGACAGAAGGTTAGCTCTTACTAGGACAGACTACATGAGATCAAATACTGAATGAACAGCTTTAATACCACAGTTCTCCGATTTCCCTCTGATAACTGTGACTCTGACATTTTAAACTATTTTCATGGCTTATTTTGTGTTACGAGGCACACAGGGTCAGATTCTGATCTCAGATGGGACCAGAATCTGATTTTCTACAAGGGAACAGAAGGGACTCCTCTGAGTTCTGGGACTTCCATTACTTTTATCTGTTCCTCATCATTCAGCCTTATCAGCAATATCACCTTGGACTGATTGGGGTATATCAGGTACATCTCCCTTCTAGAGTTAAGCAACATAACTAATGAACCTTGAGTAAGAGAAAAGGAGGTTGGCTGATAGAAAGCAAACTGAGGTGCCTTTCCAGTGCAAGTAATGTGGACTACTCCCAGATTACTCCAAGCTCCAACCAGCCCAGAATGGACCTCGCATCCCAAATTCTGTTTTCTGCAGTGGCAATATGCTGCATTACCACTAGACCAGTTTTAATACTCTCGTGCCTTTGGACCAGGAACAGTTCAGAAAAACACATTTAATTTTAATTTTTCAGGTGAAAGATGATGCTACATTGGAGCTCTCCCTTTTAAATTTAATTTTTGGATATACTTCTGACACCTGAAACTTATCTGGTAACAAGGCAGCATGGTTCCATCATGCCACTTTGACTGATGAAAAATTAATCCTGCAAAAGTGGAAAAGTTGATCCTCACCAAATGTTGATGCCTGGCTCAGTGAAAAAGCTGCCCTCACAGCTAGTGCATTACTGGCATTCCATAGAAGTGGAATTTGTGCTGATGTTTTA